AACATTTGCTTAAATCAATAAGGCATAGCATAGAGACATCCCCCCTATCGGTGGCGGCCAGGATTTGGTCACTGACGGACAGAAGTGCTGTCTCAGTTGAGTGCCGGGGTCGGAAACCGTGCTGGGTATTGGCCAGAAGATGGTTTTGGGAGAGATAGCGATAGAGCTGTTTGTGAATGACTCGCTCGACCACCTTCATAATGACAGGTACTAAGGAGATGGGTCGAAAATTAGTGGGATCAGATGGGTTTCCAGACTTGAAGATGAGGTGAACTATAGAGTGTTTCCAATGAAAGGGGATATCGGACCTTGAGATGCAAGTGTTAATGATGTGAAGGATAACGTCACCGATAGATGGGAAAGCGGTTTTCAGCATGCGAATGCAGACGCCATCAGACGCACAGGCGGCAGAATTGCGCATATTGAAAACGGTGTGACCGAGTTCACCGAGAGAGATAGGTCTGGGCTTAAATCTACCTCTTTAGGAGAGAGAGAAAAGAGAGGAAGAGAGAGTGAGAGAGAGAAAGAAAGAGAGAGAGAGAGAGAGAGAGAGAGAAAGAGAGAGAGGGAAGGAGAGACGAGGGAGGGATGGAGAAAAGAGAGGAAGGGAAAGAGTGAGAGAGAGAGAGAGAGAGAGAGAGAGAGAGAGAGAGAGAGAGAGAGAGAGAGAGAGAGAGAGAGAGAGAGAGAGAGAGAGAGAGAGAGAGAGAGAGAGAGAGAGAGAGCACAGACCGGGGATAGAGCCATCTCCGGCGGTCGGGCGGCCCATTCACACCCCATCAAAGTACCGCCGCCCGCTGCACCAGGTGACCACAGCAGTCGGCTCCTCCATTCGGCTCGGAATTCTGCCGTCAGGAAGTCACTCGTTAGTCCACAATCTGGACCTCACGTGCCGCCAGCGCGGGAGGCCACTAATTTGAGAAGATCAGCACCGCCTCGGCTAGAACAGACCACACCGCTGCAACGAGTGGCAAAGAAGCCGGCGAGAACAAAGATGAGCTACCGAAAGCGGTGTGGAGGTCGGGCCGGCCCACCCAAGTCTGCCTGCATGCGGTAGGAATTTTATGCAGCGCTCCTTCACCGAAATCTGATAGTGGTCATACCCGCGCCCTGGTGACTGACCACGGCCGTTAGATGCCGGAGACCGGGTCCCGCGAGAAGCCGCCATTGAGGCTATCTGCAGCGGACACTCCCGTCTTTCATTGGGAAATCCGACCCACAACGAATCACCGATCCAAAAGGACTCTCATAAGCCAACCGGGAGTGGCGGTGGAAAACGTCAAAAGGATGGCAAGACCTGATCAGTGATCACAACTTCACGACATTTTTATGGCAAAGGAATGACATCAGAAATGACCTGCAGGGCTTGTCATCAACCCTAGAAAGAGGATAGCTGATTGGCCGAGCTTTGAGTGAATAAGTTTCAAGTTCGCTCGCCGTTGTAAATTCCATATCACTATCCTGTGGGGTGTGCGGTGGAAAACAATGATGATACGACGGCAGACTGACCTAACCCATAATGATGTCATAATGTGGGGGAATCGTCACTTATCTGTATTCCACTGGTTTGACAGCAAGCTTTTATGACCAGAGTCTGAGCGGTAAAATGTGGATGATATGGATCGAACAGTCTGCTTATGTCATTTGAAGATCATTGTTCATCCAAGCTGATAAGATAAAGACTGTTCAGCCTGAAATCAGCCAAAAGAATGATACAATAACTCAAATATAATTAGCCACATATTTTTTCCGACAAAACGGAATACTTTGATGATAAGTATCGAGCAAATAAGTAGCAATTTCAAGTCTTACATTTACTATTTGCCCCGAAAATAACATTCAGAGAGCAAATAGGAAGTTTGTTTCATCATCCACCTAAATTTATCTTTATATCAGCCAGTGTTGCAAAATTACAAACCGCTAATCACTTGTAATTGAACCATTATGAGCAATAATTACGTTGTGAAGAGCGCACGCCATATAATTACACTGAGCTACTTTGTAATTAACAGGAAAATATCACTCATTTTTAAGATAGTTGAACACCAGAACACACAACAAAACGGATGACCACAACGGAAGAGCATGAAACAAATAACACAGGGTCAGGTAAATTGTTACTGCACAGTGCATACAATAAATGAAAAGAAATCGAAGTTCACACTGGGGTTGAGCAGTTAAGGTGAATTTGTGCGGCTGTTTGTTGTACTCATGAAACCTTGCACACGGGATCTTACAGGAAAGCATGCTTTCGAAATGCCTTCCATTAGGTCAGCATTCAACCACTTAGACAAGAAGTTCCCACAATGACAATGCGCACAGCATAATCAATGCGCATTACGCATTACCATAAGCCACCGCTATGTCTCGTCCGCACCTTTCAATGACGCAAAACCCGTCACGATGACACCGCGGAAATATCGAACACCCGGCGACATACTGCGGCGATCGAATGACATCACTGTGGCTGAAAACAGTCTCCCCTAGACGAATGACGCAGGGATGAAATGCCGCGAGCTCGACCACTCCCAGGGAGAAACCTCTGGTTGTGCGGGCGAGAGAGATTCTTTCCCACCTTGAAAGACATTCCCAGTTCCCACCTACCTCAAGAATGGCAGTCAGAAGTCTGAAGAAAACCCGTCTGACTGACATGCTTCCGTCGCCACGTCGCATACCAAAGCAAAAGGCGGCGGCGGCGGCGGCGAAGGGGGACAGGGGGGGGGAGCGAAACCTCGCTTTGGTACCCCCATTAGCCACTCTAGCGCTACTCATGTCAGCGACTCGTCAACCCCTCGTCAACCCCCCTCGGTCCCTCTCGCTCCCTATGTGACGGCAGCAGGTCAACTATCAGAAGAGATGTCAAGCAATGACAGACCGTCATTGCTGGCATGTATGCCGGACAAGAGACTTTTTCGGTGAACTTTTAGGGCATTATAATATAAAAATACCGAAATGATAACCGATGCAGCTGCCTATTTCATTAATCAGTTCAAATAGAAACAAGGACCTCTGCCATTCAGGCTTTCAGCTCCAGCCAGCTTGCATGTGTGGCAGTGTCAAAAGAAAACTGGAAAATAATCGGATATCTGAGACATACTTCATTGTCGTGTTGCGATCCTCTCAGACATTTTACAGTTCTGGATTCGGCATCACGCAAACCATGTCAGCGCGCAGCCCGTTGCTTTGAATTTGCATGATCCAGCCAAACAATGCCCAGATGTTATAACTGAACGCTGGTTAGACCTCCATTGACGTTGGTTCCAGCTGGAGAGACGAAAAAATAGCGGAGAAATCGGTTTAACCTGTATCAGCTTCTAAAGCCGCTTTACAAATCAATCCATCCGTGAATGAATTCAAAATAAGACTTCGGTCGAAGGATGCAAGGTAAGACCGCTAGGTAGGAAACAACTGCCTTGGTTCATTTCGGCTTTCGCAAATATCTGGACCAAAAATTAAAACACATTTAACCAGCTCACTAAGCAAGAATTGACTGGCCTAAAAAATGAAGTGTCCAGTAAACTTGAAAAACACATTTCCCCACCTAAACTTAACAAAAACACATTTTGTGTGCTCGCAAGGGCACAGCCACTTCTAATTCGACCTCGATACTCCGTATTTTGATCCCTCAGCACACCTGGGTGGCCGTTTGTTCAGTATAGGCCCAGCTCCGCCGAAAAGCTTTACAATTTACATATACGTGCCGAGAAGCTCAGTGCCAACGCCAAAACGCGCCTCATAAGCCCCCCACATACATTCGGTTCGCACGCAGCACGTGACAAGGTGTTTAGCCGGTTACAATCTCCCAAATCCAGCGCAGTGCTGAAAAGCAGAGCCGCAAACTAGCCCAGATGAAACATGCCACGTTGATTTGGGCCGGGTTCAAAGCAAGGGTTTCAAACAAGGTTTCAAAGTCAAAGAGACGGATTTCCTACATGCCGGGGTATGTCTTAAGCACAGCACGAGCCGGGCAGTAAAACTATGACCAAGAAACTGTCGGTGTCAAAATGCCATGTTATTTGATAGGCCGGGCAGGAAACAAAAGTTTACTGCCCGAGTTTACTGCCCAGGGCAATGACCTCTAAACTACAGTTTATCGCATTAGTCCAGAGGTATAATTGACAGAGAATGTATAATTGACATCATTATTGCATGATATTTGCCGCGTAAAATTAGAAAACTAACATTTTTTGGTAAATATCTGCTCTGCTTATCAAGGGTTTTGAAATATCTTGCATTGGTTACAAAGCCGAAATTATGGTAAGATATGCGCCTTTTAATCGAAATCCGTTATCGCTTGTTGTCTTATCTTCGTTTGATATGTCCACTGATACCTTGGGCCTAAGTTAATGCGTTTTTATTTGGCAGTTGTAGTCCTTTCCTCGAAACAAACATGTAAAATATGGAAAATATGTATAATGTATTTAACGAACGTTTAGCCATAGGGCATATCAACAAAGTACGATTACATAAATAAAGCAAAGATTCTTGCAAGAGCACTGGGAAAATTCACATTTAATCACTAGGAATATTATACCTTCTTCTTGTTCTTATGTCGTGGCAAATCATTCAAGTATTATGTTCCTTGGATATCCAATTGTTGTGCCATTCTAAGTTGATATTTTCAGACGTGATTCTTTTTGAAGTAAGGTATTTTGATGCATTTTCTTCTGTAAATTTCCTTTAAGGCTTTATCCACAGCAGTAGCGCAATCACTGTTAGGAAAATATGGACAAAACAATTGTATAAAAGTGTCACCAAAACCTGTCGAAACTAACCTAGCAGGTATGCGGCATGTAGGAAAAATCTTACTGACCTCAGCCGTACGAAATTATTTGGAAACTCGGCTTGCAAAATTTGACTCCGGCCCTCGTGCTTCGCACTCGGGCCTACGTCAATTTTGCAAACCTCGTTTCCAAATAATTTCGTCGGCCCGGTCAGTAATATATATGCTTGCACACAAATAGCAGTAACGGAGTGCAGTACACAAGGATGCTACTCACGTGGATGAGATCTCGGTGTATCCTCCGAACCTGCGAACGGAAAGATAAATCAGTGAATCTCCCAGTCACAATTCTGATGTAACAGACAGTCAGGGAATCACCAGTAAGGCCAGAATGAGATGTAACAATGACAAAAATATGGCCAATTACCAGTGAGGAGCAAGGCTGCACAAAATACAAGAGATAGTTACATGCAACGAATCACACCAGCAAAGTGAAAGCCAAGGTAAACATAGACACGGTTGGTCATTCTTCAACGATGCATCATATTTTGCTTTCTAAGCGACACTCGGTTTCGCTTCAATTGCATATACCTATGACATTTCATTTTAGCATGAATAAAAAGTCAGTAACACATCTTGTCATTTCACCAAATTCCTCGTGACTCATATTATTTCTTCCCACGCCGTATCTCACGGACGCACAACTGTCCCATCCTATCCCATTCGTCACGTGCCATCCTTGATCCACCCGCGGTAGCTAGCATTCCCAGTCCTTTCTCATCCCCCTCCTCGACCCCCATCCCTCCCCCTTCTTCTCATCCCATCATTCATTCTCTAACGCCGCGCCCTTTCCACTTCCGTCATAACCTACAGAGTTCCCACGCGAACATGCAAATCAGCAGCGATGACATGTCACCCCAGGAGCGTCCTGGGGGTGCGTTCGGACAGAGGTGATCGCTATCTTTGGGAATATCCACCACAGGGCGGCGATATTACAAGTAGTGACGTTCCATTGAAGCCTTGTCCTAACTCCCACGGTTAGCTGGGTCCCAGCGACCCCTTGTCCCCGCGTCACCTCACCCACGCGCATATCTCGTACTCCCACAACCGGCGGTGGCATGTGATCGATCAGTGGTGACAGGGGAGTCGCCCCCGCGTCGCTCAGTTATCGGAGGTCAAACGGCGTTTTTGGAGCCACAACCGGTGAGGTTTTGGCGGCTCTGACACCGGAAAACTGAGCGCGATATGCTGGTAGGTTTGATACACAATGGACAGACGCTACCATTCTAAATCGCGCATTTGCCAACCAAAAATCGATGAGGCTTACAATTCAGTAATGAATGCCTTAAGTGGTTTAATCTTGTCCTTTCAACATTCGGCTTGTCAAACGAAGAACTAGAGACAACGACACGTAAGTGTGACATCATCCAGGCTTCCACGCAACTTACGGACTTGATTCGGTGAAGATTCGTAAGCGAAAACAGAGGTTACAGAACGCAACGTCACATCCTCCGTCCTCCCCGTTGGTCAGAAGCCACAACAGTAACAGATCAGATCACCTCCTGTCTTTCCCAATCACCTGCAACGTAGGTCGCACTCTGATTCAACCCGGACACTTGCGTTCGCCTTCGACGTCAATCGTCATTCGCCAACGTCGTCATTTCTGGAGGTGCAGGGAGCGTCAAAGGCACGGCAAGGAGCGGCAAGCAATGACAAAACAGGAAGCATAACACGAAGTGGCAGTGGCTGTCGAAATAGCGGCAGTTTGCAGTGGATCTGTGAATTATAAAGTATAAACCATACAGGTCCGCCCACTCGTGCCCTAAGAGGCTTCCGTCTGTCAAAAGAACCGCCAAGCTGAGCGGCGACCCGTTAAACTATGTTTCGAAGCCACTCCTCTAGCATTAGCATGGTCTTCCGTGTTTGACTTACTTTATTCAGCATCAGTATATAATCATGTTGCTAAGAGAGACAAACAAAAGAAAACATGTAAGCCAACAAACAAAAACACCGGTGCATACTTCACAAAACAGTAAATCACTAAGTCCCAAAGACTAAATCACCTTCGAGCAGGCTTCAACCAAGCTAATCACAATCAGTCTTCCAGTATGCTCGGTTACCAAAACGGATGCATTAGTGTATAACCATGAGTAACACTCCATTATCATGCTTACACCGGATATGACACCATGCGATAGCCGAGCTAGCAGCGCTGCAGCTCTAGAAAACGGTCAGAGGACAAAGTCCGAACACTGCATGATAGATAAAACGTGCGATGTGCAGTCCAGAGTTCCATGCGCGGAATACATCCGCATTCGTCCGATCCGAGTGTGTCATTGGGACTTTTGAAACACCGTCTCGGCACTACGTGTAGGTGTAAGGATACAAACGGATACGAGAAGAGAGATGTGTTCGGCTTCGCTACAGAATTTCCGATGACGCTCGCATGCATCGATGAAAACAAACAGTGATACAATGGATGTGTATTCAGCTCCAGCCTCCAATAGCAGTAGCGGCGGAACACCTTCAATTAAGAGGGGGGGGGGGGCACTGCCGACTTTTGGTCCCATTCTTTCCATGCAACGCCCATAGGGCTAATGTTAAAATGCCAAAATCAAAGGGGGGCAGGTGCCCCGGTGCCCTCCCCGTTCCGCCGCCTATGTCCAATAGAACTCTTGCACCGCGGTTTTCAAACACACCGTACCTCAGACGCATCGCTTAAAGCTATCTGACTAAAAAATTAAAATAAAAAACTAAAATAAAAAAATAGCCGTGGGAATGTATTGCTCAGAGCGCCAGGGGTATGCCAGAAACAGGCGTGAAGACTGGATCGTGAAATCATCAGACAGACACGCCTCTCCTACATCGATGTCATCGAACGACCCACTCCTCTCACAGTGACGTCATAAACAGCCAGTGACGTCATCCGTGCACAGGGCAGAGTGATGTGATCGGACCATATGGGGACCACTGAGGGATGGTGGAAGCTTTGAGCATGTTTTATTTGCTTATTTTGATTTCTCTAGCAATATGCGTGATTTTTTTTGAAACAGCCCCACGGGCCACAGCTTAGAAGCATTTTTCTTTTATAACTGCCAATGTGCCGTATGCAGGGAAGCGAAATCGTTCTAAAATAACACCTGCAGCATTAAAACTTTACAAAATGGGTTAGAAACACTTGGTTGTCAGGGTTTCAAGGTTTTAGAAAAGGTTGTCAAGGTTTTAGAAACACTTGGTTGTGTCATGACGTTACATGAACGGGAGTTTTTTTTTTGCAATGACCTGGTTTGGTTACCTTGTTCGAGTTAAGCACTCACTCACCCCCTGAACTCAACGATAAAATTTCATTTTTATCGGCAACACTCTTCCTCAGTCGTGCTTCCTTTTAGCAACGCCAGCAGCCTTCCCAAAAACCAATGAATGAATCCACGACTCCACCATAAACGTCAAGTGACCCACTGAATGAATGAACTCCCACATTTCGAAACGCCGTTGCCTCACGGTGTGTGCGGATTTCTGCCGTAACCGGTCCGGACTGGGTCCAATCTCAGATCGTCAACACTCACCGGTTGGATTTGTTTGTTATCTCGCTCTGCCATGAGAGGCTAACCGGCCGGTCGGGCCCTAATCTGCGGTATAGGGCTAAGTTCTCATCGCGGCTGATCTTCCGCTCGATTCCGACGGTGACATGGGATAAGATATCCGGTGCCAGCCGAGCGAACTGCGGCGGGACACGCCAAGCACCGCAACCGAACGGGATCGTGCAACATGTCGGCGTAGGTATAGGGGTTGGGATGATATCAACCCGACACAATAGATCACAGAAGCTCGGGAAAATAAATCATCACAGCAAATCGGCGAAGTAACTCGGAAGAACAGTGAGATATAAGGTGACTTATAATCATAAACCATCTTACTGGATGGCCATCTTCTTGCATTTGCCAGACAGCGATACTTACATCTCTCTGCGGAGTTATTGATACGACCGTGTGGCGAAACACGTCGACACAAAATCGAAGACAGATCATGGATAAAGGTATCCCGGGGTAGAACGCAAGGATTGTAGAACTCTGAGGTGAACAACACAAGTAAGTGAGAAGGATGGTGGGATGGTGTAAACCCTGAAATAGGTGGGCATTAGCCACTAGGCACTACGGTGAGCACAAGGGACAGGCCGACCGGCGACCATGGTCGAAAATCGACCGTCCAACCGGCCGGTTGAAACCAGCGCGGCACCGGCTCCTATGAGTTCCGTCAGGCTTCAGCCGGCTTGCGGCAGCTTGGTGGGACTCAACACAAGCCTGACTGGACCCAGCTGAGTGAGAGGGTTTGCTGGCAGGCACGGGCCAAATCCGCACCTTCAGTCCTATTACCTGCTTCGCAACAGACACTGAGCCCCCTGAGCGGTACTTAGCGCTGGAGCGGACACATGCGAGCCGCTCCATCCAGACGCGACGACCGACACAGTCTCAACGGCAGACTTTGGAAAAGGACGGCTGCACTCGGACTGTGGCGGCGATTCAAAATGTGCCCTTGATTCGTGATAACAAAAGGAGGAAAGGATAAGTCTGAGGATGATTTCCAAGGTATTGCGGTCTAAGTGGCAGTGCAGTTAATATCAACCTGAGAAACGAAGATAATATTCGCGGTGTTGAAATGTAATCGCATGGCTTTATGAGTCAAAGACCAATTTCTTTAGTGTTTCAAATATCAACTGTCAGCTTAAAAGAAACGACACGGAAATATATGACAAAGGCGTTATTTTACGGTAGAATATAAATGGTCGTGAATAACAAAAACAGTTCAGGATCATGCAGGATACGTTACCACTCTCACATAAAAATGACGTCCCATTATTTATTTACTTCACACCAACTAATCCCACCCCGTCTCTGCCCAACCAGTTCTCTCCTCCAGAAGCTCCACTCGCGGCGCTTTCAACTCCCGTCTGATGATGGTATCAGCATTAGCACTGATCATATCAGCGCAGCATCCGGCGGCGATCAGAGCCCGACGCTGATCCGCTCAGCGGTCTCCGAAGGCGCGGTAGTCCGGACCAAGGCGCGGTGGTCCGCGGACCGGTATTTCGGACCAGACGAGGTAGTCCACACGTGTCATGACCCGGCAGACCGGCGCACCTGGGACTGGGTATGATCGGTGATGTCTGCTGATGAAATCAACGCCGGTTAGTCGGATGGCACGCATTCTAACCGGCGCCCGTTACATTCGCATTGGCGCTCGTTCGCAGACTGCTAACATGCATGGAAAGCCATCAGGCACTGAAAGAGCGAGGCAGTTGGACAGTGA